TGTACTTCCTCTCTTTTGTCTAATTACATTGGCTCATACCTCTACCACAATGTTAAATAGCAATGAGATATTAAGCATCTCTTTTTGTTTCTGACATTAGTGGTAGAGTCTCAAGGTAGTGTTTCCCCCATTAAGCAAATTGTGGGCTTTGGGGCTGAGATTTGTGTATTTGATTAGTTAACATAGTTTATCTGGCTATATTATTTGTGAGAAGTCACTAAGCACAACACTCACAAAATCCAATTCCAGACCATGAGCTGTTCAATACCAACTCCCACTAATTAGAATACCTATATGAAAAACAAGGCGGAGGACAGATATAAAGGGCACATTCTAAGTAATGTCATTACATTCATATTATATTTGACAGCCATTTGGCAGTAGAGCTTGCTGGAGTATTGTAGTTAGAATTCCTTTCTTTGGGTCATGAAGTAATATAATTTAATGATAAGGATATTTAAGTGTCTGTTAAGAGAAAAATTTTAAAAACATGTGGAATGAGAATTTAATTTGGCTATAGTAGTTAATATTTTACTTATTACATATTTTCTACTTACTATTTCTCTGTTTTTCAAAGCTTTCTGCCATCATTTATTAGTATCGATTCTGCTTCAAGAGTAGTAATTGAACACACATGCTCTGAAATGAGATTATTTGATAGAATCAAATTCTGGCTCCACATAAATGTTGTGTGACCTGCAATAAGCCACTTAACTTCATTTTCTTCAGTTTCTTCATCTGTAAAATGTGGATGATTGTCATCATTATCTCAATTGGTCATTGTGAATATTAAGTAATAATGTATGTAAAGGGTGAGTGCAGAATCAGGAGCACAGAAGTACTGGATAAAGTTAGCTATTATTAGGTCATCCTGTTTTTATTACAACTCAGTTTCTTCTGTATAGTTACTTTCTCATGAGTGACATTAAAATGTAACTGCTACTAAAAACAGATGTGTTATCTATCAATCAGAAAAGTTACTAATAAACAATTTTGTAAGAAAAGAAGCATACAGAAGAAATAGATCTAAAATATCTAAGTACACAAAGGAAATTCTAGCATAAGATATTCAGATATTTTGAATAATCACCTCTATGTATTAAATTTGGATTGTTTTGGAGCTTTGAAATTTTCTTAAAGGGTTTGCAGGTCAAATATTCTAGTTTCCAAACTCTTCTTAGAATATTGTCTGGAAAACTGTTTCATTGGCCGCCTAGGAAGATTAAGAATTACGTCTCACCACCACAGGAAGACTGGAAAACATTTGAGTGGATATCAATTTTTTAAAAAACCATTTAACAAACAGGATGAGGTTTTTCAAATTATCAAAAGATTCACTGCAGTGGTTCTTCTCATGCACTTCCTTGTGTGTTTGTATATCACTAACAATGTAATGAAGTCCTTTAGGCCCAGAAGTACATAAAAATGTAACAAAATTGTTTTGCATGATTATCATTTGAAGACCAACCATAATAATAATACATCCCAACTAAACATAAAGTTTAATAATTATCCTATATTGAAATATTAGCCAACAATGATATTTTTCCTTATATGGCTAAGCTTTTCTCTTAAACACCATAATTCTGTTCTGTATTTTATAACCATTTTAAATGAAAATATATGTCCCTTTATTAAGCAGAGTATAATCAATGAATATTTAATGTTTACTTGATGACCCAGATTCATCATTATGAATACAAATAATGTGCTCTCCTCAGGGCCCTACAGATATATAGGGCTGCTTACTTCTAGCACAAAGTGGTCTCAAATCTTGTACCTGGTAGTCCTGTCTGTTCTGTTTCCTCAATGCTTTTTTGCACATTTATTGAGATATAATTGACAGACAGAAATTGTATATACTTAATATGTACAGCATTATGTATTGATATAGGTATACATTGTAAATAGATCACCACAATCAAGCTATTAACATATCCATCACCTCACAGAGTTATCATTTTCTTCCTTCCTTCTTCCATTCTTCCCTCCCTCCTTTTTTTTCTTCCCTGCCCTCTCTCCCCTTCCTTCTCCCGTCCCTTGCCCTTCCCTCTCCTTCTCTCCTCTTTTTTTCTTTTCTTTCTTTTACTTTCTTTCTTTCTTGGTGACCTCATGAAACAGCAGCATGAACTCATTCAGTGTGAACTCAAATTTCAGCAGTGAGTCTCAAAAAAGTGTGTATTCTAGTTCTGTCCACTGCAAAGGCCTTAGTGCCAGCATTATGGGCTGTAAAACAAATCAGAGCCCCTTGGAGAAATAGCTGGTTCCATATCTGGGGTGGAATATGGACAAGATGAGTCTGGAATACCTTATAGTACCCCAGAGCTAAGCTATATGTTGAGGTTATGTCAAACGGACTCAAGGGGCAGTGTGAAAGGGCTCATAAATGTAGAACAATGAGTATTAAAGGAATAATAAGCACAATGATTTGAATTACAAATGCATTAACACCCTTGAGTGTATTAAATACCAAAAAATCCCCAAATAGTCCTTGGTCACTTTAAGTGATTGAAGATGGGTCAGCAACCCAGCACTCTGAAAGGGAAAGAATAAAGCATTAATGCTAAGTTTCATGTACAAACCATATTTCAGGAAAAGCAAATACTGTAGTCCATTGTTATTCTTTATGGACGAATTTCGAGCAGTACATGTAGAAAAATTATAAAGTTAGAAAAATCACCATTTGCAACACCGAATGAATTCATGAATCTAGGCAACAATCCCCACTGGCTGCTAAATCTATTATGCGGAGGTTGATATGTCCGGTGAGCATACACCATGATTTTCCTGGGATAAGACCTGGTTTACATTAGCTGCGTTATCAGCATTACTAATACTACGCCTTCCTGCACCCCCTGTTCAAAATCGCCTTCATTTGAATGATAGATGATCAACCTCGTGATAGGGAACTTTGTAATGAATATGGAATGCAAATAGCACTTGAAACAACTGCTCAATCTTAACAGCACAATAAAACAGGACACAGAGACATTAAGTATCTCCTGATGGACTGTGGATGAGATAGAAAGTACAAAGCACTATCTATGACATATTATTGCCGAAGAGTCAAGCCTGAATTGATGAAGCCTCAAGGTCTATCAGTTCAGAGTCCACAGCGGTGAGAAGAATGTATTAAACACAGCAGGTGTGCGACCTGCCAGAGCCAGGATTTCTGAAATTCAATGACACAATGACGTAGTCTCTTCAATAAATAAAGGAAAGGAAAAGGAGAGGGGAGAACTGATATAGAGGTTTAAAAATATATATAAAACATACCAAAGAAATGCAGTCTGGACATCTTTCTTGAATTCTCATTTGAATAAAGCCAGCAGTGAAAAAGACATTTAAAAATACGGGATTTAAATATATTGTAAAAGTGACCTGTGTGTCTCCAATATTTGGGAATATGAAATATGCTACCTCTCTCCTCAGTTGTAAAAATAACTTTTCCCCACTAAATGGGTTTTACCTTACTTCAAATTTTTACTCTTAATACATTTGTTTCAGGGAGGGGTCTCAAAGGAAAGATGATGAAAACAATTCTTGTACAGGCTTGGGACTTGGTTGAAGTGTTACCGAGCTCCCTTGAAGAAAGAAGGCTCACAAGAAGCCCTGGCATATTGTTGAGGAGGTTTGTCTTCCGTACTCAGTCCTGGCCCCGTGCTTTTTTCGAGTGTCGGGCTAACTGTGCACCTGCTGGTCTGAGCCCTAATCTTGCAGGACCCTCCCACCTCCATCCATCATCACACACCTGCTTCTTCCATTTTCTCCCTCCTCCCTTCCCACATTCAGAAAACACACAGACACACACACACACACATTTTCAAATTTGTTGATTTTATTTTAATGATCACTAGGCCTGTACAATGTTGATGTATGGCTTGGTCTCTAAGCACTTGAAATAAAACATTGAAAATATTTTCGGTAACTTAGAATAAGAATAAAGTTAACTAACTTATTCCAAATATATTCTGAAAGAATTTCATATTCATTAAATCACGTTTCCAAATGAAGATTTTGAATGTTGTCTTACATAAAAAATGCCCACTACAAAAAAGTATAAGAATTGATCGAGCTTTTAGATGAATACACAATGAAGTATCTCACTGAAACGCAAACTTGAAAAACAAAATTTTGCAGTTAATTTATCTATAAAGATGGGTGTGCAATATTTAAACTATAAGAAATTAAATGTAAGTATATGTTGATGAAACTTTTTTTTCATATTTCATTTTTTGTTTGTTTATTTTTGTTTAAAATATTACAGATGTCCCTTTTTCTCCCCAATGACCCATTCCACCCCATCCCACATGAAACATTTTTAGTACAATGCCAAGGAGAGGTGTCATTTAATAGAAAAACAATAGCATTTAAATGACATTTTGATGTCTTTGTGGAAATGCCATATTCACAGACCCATGTCTCAGCATTGATATTCATTTCTTTTTCAGTTGCATTAATGATGTTGACCAGTTTAATTCATTCAAGAATGCAGAGTCAAGTTGTTTTTAATAACTTTTATAAGGCACTAGAATAGATTTCCTTTTGAAGTGGTATTTTAATTGGAATTGGCTCTGTAACCTAATGAGAAAACACAAAGGGATACACATATAAAGCAGATTTTGTATTCTTTATTTTATTTTTTTCTCTTAAGGAAGAACAATGCAACATTCCATACTTGTGCTTTCTACCTTTGGGGATTGATACAGAACTGCTGGGGCCAAAACTTAAAATTAAGTCGACTTGACGTATTGCTGAAGGTTAATTGACAGTGTTAGGGAGAAAAAGTCTCCATTGCTACCAAAGGGTTGAAAGCTTAATACATCTAACTGTGGCATTGCTGCTACCCACATAACTGTTTTGGATTCATTTGATGGTTAACAGACAAGGATTCTTGCACTTAACAGACAAGCTGATGATAAACAAGATGTACTGATTTCAACTAGAAATTTTCAGACCACTGTATTGTAGCCAATGTTATACTTGTATCGTGTAACTTAAGTTCAAGTTCTTTCTTCAGAGTCCTCAAAATAGCAGGCAGTGAAGAGACTTTCGAATATTTGCCAGCTCTTGCAGTTGCTGTTTCAGGAAAGGAAATATTATTTGGGCAATTGTTATATACATTTTGACAAGCAAAATACCCTAATGCTGACAGCCCTCCTTATTTCTTAATATTAAGTGTACACTACTTACAGCATCCTCCATGATCTTGTTTTGCAATTTGGCCATTTCTTGTCTAAATTCTTTTGCTTCATTGGTAACAAGATGTTCATGATCCTCCTCTAAGCACACCATATTCTAAAACAAAAAGCATAGCTCAGTTATAAACCACCACTTTTCATCTCACGTTCCAAACATGTACAATCAAATTTCAAAAGTAGCAACTGTTAATATTCACAGGGTGCTCATTATTTATTCCAAATAAAAATATTATAACGAATGTACGCAGGTCAAAATATCCACTTAAGAAAATTTATACATGTCATAGTTGAGTCAAATATTATTATTATTGTAGAAGTGCAACAGTAATACACTTTACTGGAAACAATGGGTTAATGAACAGTTAAAGTCAAGATGGAGCAAAAAAAAAAAAAAAAAGAAAGGAAAGAAAAGAAAAGAAAAGAAAAAAACTGATAATCCCATATCATGAAATACCATAGTTTAAACTGATAATCCCATATCATGAAATACCATAGTTTAAAAACTCTCTAATAAGCTTTCTAGACACCAACTAACAATATTCTTAAGTGACTGAAACTCAATGTAACATGATTCCACTGGAGGGAATAAAATGATCTGTAATAAATAGGACCTCTGAAAGTTATGAAAATCAAACTTAGGTTCTAAATTTTTCGTCTTCGTTCAACAAGCAGTCATCTAGTGCATTCTATATCAAAAGTACTCTGATAAGTGCTGTGGAGGAAATTAGAAATGAATACACGATCTCTTCCCTATTCCGGTGAGCATAAAAAACATGTAAATAAAAATAACACCAAAAATTAAAATTGTTTTTACGTAACAATCAAAGAAACACATCTTGCCATGACTATGTAGTGAGAAATAAGGTTGATTATTATTTAGTTGGCAAAAGAATAAGATTTCAATAGGCAAAGGAAAGATGGAATTAAAAGTATTCCAGGGGAGGAGCATAAGCAAAGGAAGTAATGGTGAATTTGTTCGGAGAAAGTGACTAATCTGGAGGGTGGGAGGAAAGAAAGAATGTAAGCATGAAACTACAGAGGGAGTCTTGTTATGGGGCAGACGTTGAATACTTGAGAATGTAAAATGGGAAGCTAATGGCAGGCTTTGAGGAGGGAAGGTATACGTTTTGGAAGATGATATTGCAGAACTGTGAAGGATGGATTGGAGAAGAGAGAAATCAGGTAAGCATTCAGTAGTACAAGCTAGGAACGATGAGGTCCTGCACTAGGGCAGCCACAGTGGGAATTTGAAGAAAGAAATTATAGTACAATAGCAGAGGTAAAAATTGCAGGGCCTAGTAATAACCGGATGGGAAGGGTAAGGGACTCTGGAGGAGCCCAAGATGATACTAAAGTTCCTACCCCAAGTGCTGACATTTAGTAATAAACTTTAGAAGAAACCTTCCTTAGCACTTTATCAAATCTTCACACCAATTAATAACTGGTTCCCAGGCAGCATTAGAGAAAAAGTGTTGTCTACTTGGAAACACTCGTAAAACAGCTATTTCATATGTATGATTCTAAAGTTTTTAAAGAATATTTATTTTAAAACTCTTTTACTACTTTACTTAACCCATCTCAATTAGTTTAGGAGAGTGACATAGTAGTAACACGCATTTGAACAAGATTAATAAAAAGAACATCCCATCCAAAAAAGAAGGGGTATATCCAGGATTCTATCACCTCCTAAATAAGTATGTATCTGTATGGAGCTGAGGATAATGTCACGAGGAAAATCTGCTAATGTGAGAATGGGACAGTATATGATCCTCAATGCATAAACTTTTTGCCCTCCTGTGGCTTTTCCATACTGTCATGCATCCGGGCCTTCTCCTATGACTCTAAGTTCATATGGAAAGCCATTTTTAGTCACTGTAGTAGTTCTAACAGCAAATGAGCCACAAGACACTCATATAATGTATTTGAAAATAAAAGAGATATTCAATAATTACAATTGCTACTTCCTATTTTGCATAAACCCGTGAAACAACAGAAGTAAAAGACACTGGAACCTCGTCATAGACTTTTTATGATCCATAACATAGTCATTGCTCATGTCTTGAAACTGATTGTTGAATATAAAATTATTATTAAAGCATCAATTTTAATCACAATGTGCTTATTTCTAGGTGATAGTCCCATTTTGTCACTTCTTGTTTTAATATCACAACACTCTTAATAAATCCTAAAAATAAAAATAAATTTAGCACTTGTGTTAAACCAAGAACAATAAGTCCCAGTGGAAAATAGCTAAGAATTTAAAATGGATAACCAAAATATTGTTCCCATAATTATGAAACAATTTAATTTCTACTTCAAAATAGACATCATGTTTTATAAGAACGTATTGTGTTACCAAATACAACAGACCTTTAAGAACTGGTCATATAAAGTTTTAATTTTTTTCAGTCTCTGGCTCTGAACAGTTCTAGCTTGTTGAAAAAGCTTTCGTTGCTCGTGAAACAAAATCTACAAGTATAAAAGAAAAAAGCTGAGATAAAACATGGTTAATTTAATATTTAGCAAAACGTGATTCTGCATTAAGTTAAAAGGATTATTTTTAAGTCAGTATTTTTAACAGTTTCTGTGTTCCCTTGTATAACACAGTTCAGACATTTGTACTCACCATTAAGATACAAAAAACACAATAATAGTATACATGAGTCTTTGAGAAGAAAATTCCCATTCTTATCTTACCCATATTCAAAACATATGTAATTAAGTAGGAAAAATTCTTTCCTGACAATATTCAAAACATGTAATAGTTACTGGTCGTTCAACATCCACACAGATGAATTTTCCAGTAATGCAGGCCTTTGTGTTCTTTGACCTAATCTCCAGAAACAATTTTGTCTTCTCCCCTAGTTTAGCCATTTACTGACAGGTTTGTACCCTACATTCTGTCATCTCCAACAATTGTAACATCTATATAATATGAAGGAGAGGAGCCTTATATAGGAACTATGTGTCAGGTTTGGTCCGGGAACTGTTTAAATGAACTTATTTTATATAGAACATCATTTATTCTCAAAACAAACCTATGATGAAGGTACTCTTATTATGTCCCCTTCATAGATGAGGACACTGAGGCACAGAGATACATAATCTGTCCATGGCTCCACAGCTACTACTTAGCTAATCAGAACTGGATCTCAAACATTATGGTTCCACAGCATAGGGTCTTGACCACTCTATACTACATGCTGTTTCTCCATGTTCCCCAACATCCATCCTCTACCTCCCTATGTCTGTAGCTCACTCCCTTTCACACAACGGTTAAGTACTCTATCAAGACTTATCACCCACTGAATAGAACATGTTCCACTGTCCCCTATCCCATCCCATGTCTTCACTTTCCTCCCTCTCGGCTAAATTCCATGGCCGATCATAATACCCACGCCCTTGCATATATACCTTGCCCCCTTTCTCACTCTGTCCATGTGTGTGTATAAACCCCACCCTGAAAAATCCAACCCTCCAGCTGCTCTGCCACAGCGTTGCATACTAGTCTCACGACGGATTCATAATCACTATGACACTAACCTATTCGGGGCCATAATGATGCTTGGCCATGATATTTCCCAAGTCCATTCACTGGCCCCCTCTCAGGAAACATTTCCACTCATTGTCCTCTGCCCTGAGAAAGCAACACCTCCTCCACTATCCTCCCTTCTCAATGCCATCAGGTCAGTCCACTAAGAAAGAGTGAACCATGCCTTGACCACAGTGACTGGTTCAGGAATGAGCAAAGGATCCAAGCTGAATGAGTGATACTCCTCGAGAGGGTTTTTCTGCCAAAGATGACTGCCAAAGATTGTCTTTACTGAGAAAGATGGCCTCAGTCCACTGGGGCTACTAACCTGGTGGGGAATCTAGGATTGGAAGCCTAAATTCTGACCCCATGGAGAGTGTCTAAAAGGAGATGGAGACAGAGCCCAGATGACACTGCTGGAGCAACCTGTTCCCAGCCACATGCAGCTATACCTGCAGCTAACCGCACCACACACACACACACACACACACACACACACACACACACACACACACACACACCGCCCCACCTTGACTTCTTTAGATAAACCGAGACATCTCTCTTTTGCACTTTGGCAAATTTCTGTTACTTGCAACTGCAAGAATCTCAAGAAAGACAGGAAATAAAGACCAAGGACTTTTCTGAGTTTGGTGGATGCCTGTACTTCTCTGATTTTCTGTGATCAGGGCCCAACCCCATAGCTAGCAATGGGAACGGGACCCTGGCTCAGGTTTACGGGTCCAAGACATGGCCAGGCTCTCTATTCCTGCTTGAGACTTGCTTACAATAAACCAATTATGAAGCTAAGCCTGATACCAACAGCCAGTTTATCTTCTTCTTCCTTGGTTTTCTGCACATCTCTATCCCACTCTTGAAACAAAGTCAGAAACTGCTGAGAATATTCGCGATAAAACTTCTGCCTGTAGAACATAATAACGAGCACGGTCATATCGCTAAGACAAAAGTAAACACATTCAAAACAAAATTGATTTGACAACAATTATACCATAAAGGGAGAAGGGAATAAGAGGAGCTGAAATCTTCTGATGGGAAACAGGAAAATGGAATGCGTGATTTACTGTCATTCCACGATTATTTGTCCCTAACTGGCTAAGAGGGAAGCTATCTCACATGCCTTAGCTCTTGAAAACTAAGGAAGATTTATTTGTATTATAAATTTTTCAGAAAACTGCACTGTATCTACAAAAGGTTTTGACAATTTTTTCTTACAAAATAACATATAACTTGTGCTATGATAAATAGAATCATTGTTCCATTTATCATGTAACATTTCCAAACTGGAACATTTCACTTTTTACTCTCTTTGGCACAACACAGATTTTGTACACATGAAGAATAAACCCACTTCAGGTAAATTTACAAGTTATTTACAATATAAGATTAACTTTTTCTACTTAAGTGAATATAGCTAAATAGCACGATACATTTATCTTTTATTTAGTTAGCACATTCCCAGAATATATATATATATATACACATATTTTTCCTTTAATAGCAAAAAAACACGATTGTCATTTGAAAGGGGGAAAAGGTCGTCTTTAGTCACCTCTAGGTAATAATACATCTCCATTCAATTTAGGCGTGTGCATTCATAGGAATAATGGAATTGTTTTGCTTTCAGAAAAAAATAGAGCCAAATACACGTTTCAATAGAGACTTCAATAAATAGAAAATGATAGTGTTATTCTTAAGTAATTTGTACCCACGAATACGAATAAATGATACAAAGGTTCTGCCTCTGAAAAACCAACAACCTTACCTTTGCTCTTGCCGTTTTTTCCCAGCATACCCAATTTTCTGGTTAATGGTTTTCAGGGCAGCATTGGTATCCATTACAAATCTTTTTCTCTTGGCAAGAAGAGCCTTGTTCATGTCACCTACATTAGACATATATATTTATTAACATGTAATGTTGAAATTATTTTTTCCTGCTTGTTCAAGACAGTATGAGCAGCATTCGTTCAGCAGTTCTGTTAGTATTTAAAAAAAAATAGGCACCAGTTGAAAAAAAATAAATTATTTGGTTCCTTTTTCATGCTGTGCAAACTTTCAGTTACTCGTATCCCCATTCTAAATTTGATAACTGCACTCTTTTTTTTTTTTTTTTTTTTTTAGGGTACAAAAATAGCCAAGGAGCAAAAGCTTCTATTTTCCAAAATGTATAGAAAGGGTCTCAAAGACAGTCTATTCTTTCCTCAGGAGGAAACAGTTATAAAGGTTAATTTTTGATAAATTTATAACATACCCTCCAATTCAAAGGACTCATTTAGATGGATACTGTTAGATCTTGTTAATAGAAAACACACAAGATTACTCCATTTAAAAAGTCTCCAAAAGAGATCAAAATAATTTTTAAAACTGAGAAAATTATCTTAAAAAATTAGTTGGAGAGGCTTTTAAATATATTTGACTTAAAGGGAAAGACCATGCACAGTTTGAGGAAATCAATAAGTTATTCAAGAACACTTTCTAAACGCCTTCATGGAGATTTTATGTAACTTTTACCAAAAAGTGTTCAAAAACATTGTGCAAAAACTTTAAACTTTGAAATCATGCTTTCATAAGCACATGATTTTATGTTATGGATCCACCATCAATAATCGTTTTCAGTAATCAGAAAGGAGCAGCACTATTACACAAATATTTTATACACCTAGATTACCATGTATAATAATCAATTTATGAGACAGCACCTTGTCACCACCACATAGAACAAAGCTTTCAAAAACTACCTGCTTGCACGAATGATCCATATAGAGGACTCACAAACTGGCTTGGACTCTTTTATTAAGAGTCTTGCCCTGAAACCCAGTTGATGTAACTGATACCTGACAGAAAAATTTAAAACTTGTAGGTTTATGGTTCTGATCATACATCGCCAGCATGCCAGCAAATGTGTCTGTAGTTTTTGCACTGCAGAGTTGATCAATGTAAAGATAACAATAAAGACTTGTTCTGCAGGCTTCAATTTAAGCTTCTGCACCAAAGAAAAAAACTAGGAGAGTCACAGACAATGGCTACAATGAGAAAATTTAGAAGTGACATTAAAAACAGATTTGTCACTTACTCTGCCACACCAAGTGGAATAGAGATTATTTCATGCAAATTCTTCTAATATCTCACAACCAATTAAATGCACCCGTGTATAAAATAAAAGCATCACTCTTACCTCACCATTGGTAGTACCATTCTCTCCACATCCACAATAAAAAGGGAAACTAAGGAAATCTATGAAGCCAAATCACACTAAATGCTTACTGTGTCTAAGAACAAGGCATTGAATGACAGTCTTGCAGACCACCGATTAACATTTCCCATTGTCAATGGCATACGGTTTGAAACAATTTATTTTCATGACACTATCTCCTAAACCATACCTTTAAATTTTTCAAGCATTTTCCGTAATTCGTTCCTGTAAAGAGATTGCATTAAGTTTTAATGAAGGGTACCTAAAATGCCATGCTTGTTTGGGAGGGGAAAATGCCATGCCAAGTGTTTTACGTACAATACTTGTTACCTGAGCAGACCTTTATTTTTCGATAGGGCAAGCAAAAATGACTGTAAACACATTACCCCATTTCTCTCTCATATAATCCTGGAATAGGACTTTCTCCACCATGGTTATCAATTACTGGAGTGTTTCCTGCATCAAAATAAAAATGGAAAAAGTTATTAAATGAATTTAACAATTTATTTGGGTAATTGTTCACGGAGAAATCTCTTCACTGTGGAGTGTTTTAAGCTTTTTGCTGCCAAAAGTTTTTAAGGCAGACCTATGAAAGCAATCATGTATGGGCAAGTCAGATGGAAGTAGGTCAGAGACCAGGACCATGCTATGAAGATGCTGTTGTTGCAGGCCTTTCAGAGTGAATGTCAGAGCCAACCCTGTGACACACATCAGAAGCTGTGGACAGGACTGCGAGCCTCCAGAGGAGCTGCTGGGTCAGCTTCAGTCATCCTACTTGGGGGTATGAGGCTCAAGTGGGCAACCTCCAGGGCATAAAACTGCTTCCCACACGCGTGGGTTTTACTGTTTACAACGTCAAGGACTCAGAAGCAGGGACCTGAGGGACGCAGTCTCAGCCCCATGCACTGTGCAGGGAGACAGTACCTTCGGGAAGCTCCTCTGGCCCACTTGTTTCTTGTCTCCCAAAGTCATGGTCTTCCACAGCCTGATCCTCCAACAGGGCCATCAATTCTCTGTTCATGCCCTTCCTCCGAGGCGGTGCCATCACAATGTCTCCCGATGTAGTGGATGTAGTGACAGCTCTCCTGCACCTTGTGAGCGCCAACGGACGTTAAAGGGGCAGGAACATGGTCAGTGCAGGACGCCGGGCAAGGGACCTCTGCACAGACCAGAGTGTGCGTGTGTCCGCGTACCTCTTGCCTGACCAGGAGAGGACAAAGCACATGGGGACAGGTGACCCTCCCCACCCAGAGCTGCGATGGAGGGCTGGCACGAGCCCCGGGGCATCTGAGTGTCAGCCCCCTCTGCCGGACTCTTGCCACTACGTTGGAACAGAGGCCATCCCTGCCCCTCGGTCCTCAAGGGGCCAAGTGCTGATGGGGTGGCCCGACCGTGGGCATGACAAAAGTAAGTGTGCCTCCTTATGGATGGGGAGTAAGCCTTTCTGAGACCGTCCGGGGGCAGTCAGGTCTCCGGGCTTCCCAACGCCCCATCTGAACCCCAGGACGACCTGAGAGGGCTGAATTGTCCTGTCAGGCAGCTGGGCCTGAGGGACAGACAGGTTGGGACGGCCCCTGAGCACACGCTGGGACCCTCCCAGGACTTGGGGACCTTCAGACCCCCTCCTCGCCCTGCCGGCCCTGCCCTTGGGGACCTCATTCTGTCCTGTGGGAGCACCAGGGGACCCGCGGGAACATCACCTCAGAGGTTAGCCTCACAGCCCCGGCGCTCCGCCCTTCCCTGCCCCTTCCCCTGCCCTCCATACCCTGATTCCCTCACATCTGAGGAGAATCTGATGGCCACGCAGCGTCGCCAGACCCACCTCCCCACACGCCCGACCTCCCCAAGAGCCCCTCCGTGACACCCTAACCCGTGCCTGGGGTCCCTCTGTCTCTCTGTCCCTCCCTCAGGGCACACCTCGACCTCCACACGGCTATCGCAGCGATGCTCCTCTGAGGACTTCTGGATAGCGAGCAGCCTGCGCGGGAGCGTCACTGATTGGCTGGCACAGTGCGCATGCGGGAGGCGGGGCCTCCGCCTAGCCACGCCCCCTGCAGGGACTGCGCTCCAGCTGCGGGAGCCAAGGCTGGGGACCCAGGCCTTGGGTGCGGGGAGGAGGGGTTCCAGTGCCTCAGGTCAAGGACCTTTCACAGGTCTTCCTGGCAAATCACAAAAGGATTCGGGAGTGCGGAACAAGTGCTCAAGCCACCACCTTCCTGAGGAAGGAGAATTTACCTATTCCTAATCAATCTCCTCCTGGGGTCCTTGCACCCGCCCCTTCTCCTTGCAGAGGAATAGCCCTTCTCCTGGGTGTTCTGTGTAAACCACCCCCTTCCTTTTGCCAGGGGTTTAAAAAAGCACGTGTATGTGTCCTTAAATATCGTTGCTGACTGTTGTATGTGTCTAGTACAATAAATTGTATCACATTACATGTGCTCTTCCGCCACCTCCTTTTTCACTCAACATTGTGTCACCAAAAGTGTCTATATTATTACATGTAGCCATCCTATCTTTTTCTCTGATGTATCCTATACCTTTGTGGAACTGCTCCTCAATTCACTTATCAATTGTCTTCTCCATGGACATCTCGATCCCTACTTTCCACTTTACAGCCCTTACAAGCAGTGATGCTAGGAGCATCCTAATGCCTGTCGTACGTACAATATGTTTTGCAGAATTTCAAGGAGTGAGATTGCTGGCTCATAGGCTAGAAGTATAGCCAAATTATTTCCAGCTGATGACCCCACCCACAGTTTGAGTTCTGATTGGGCCATATACCCACCAATACATGGGACAATCAGATTTCTGAACCTTTCCATTTTAGTGAGTGTAAAATTACATTTGGGAGGGTGTCTTCTTTTGCGTTCCTCCAATCACTAATAAGATAGGACTTTTGACAAAATGCTCATCGGCCATTTCAACCTGCTTTTCCATTACATATCTACGTGGGTGTCATGACTTTTTCCCATCGCGTAAGGATGGCATTCTTGCAGTTTGGTGGAAGCACTTCATATATCCCAGATATCAACCTTTGTGACAGTGTTGGTGTTTAATGGTAACAGAATATAAATAAGGCAAATTTGACCATTTTTAGGTATACAATTCAGTGGTGTTGAGTGCCTTCCCACTGTTGTACAACCATCACCGCCATCCACCTTTGGAAATTTTTCGTCTTCCCAAACTGAAACTCGGTACCCATTAAACACTTTTTCCCCATTCCGTCCTCCTCCCAACCCCGAGCACCCACCATTTTACTGTTGGTCTCTATGAACGAGACTACTCTGAGTACCTCATATATACACTATTGCTCCTTTTGTGACTACCCTATTTCACTGAGCGTAATGTCTTCAAGATTCCATTTTAAGGGCAAATAACAATCCGCTGGCATGACACAGTACCTTTTGCAACAATATGGATGAACCTAGAGGGTATTATGCCAAGTGAAATAAGTCAGACAGAGAAGACAAATACTATATGATTTCACTTATATGTGGAATCTAAAGAACAAAGTAAATGAACAAACAAAACAGAAACAGACTCACAGATAACAGAGAACAAACTGATGGTTGCCAGAGGGGAGGAGGGGATGGCGGCTGAGTGAAAAAGCTGAAGGGATTATGAAGGACAAACTGGTGATTACAAAATAGTCCCAGATATGTAACATACAACCTAGGGAATATAGTCAATAATATTGTAATAATTATGTATGGGACCAGGTGGGTATTAGAATGATCGGGGGAATCGCCTGGCAAGTTACATAAATGTCTAACCACTATGCTGTACACCTGAAACTAATATAAAATAATATTGAACTTTAAGTGTAATNGCCCCCCCGCCCCCGTTCTTTTGTTAACGGACACTTAGGCTGCTTCCACCTTTTAACCATTGTGAATAATGCTGTGTGAACACGGAGGTACAAATATCTGTTTGGCTCTCCTTTCACTTCTTTTGGGGTAGATACCCAAAAGTGGAGTTGCTGGGTCAGAGGTTAACTATCTTTTCAATGTTTTTAGTAACTGCATGCTGTTTTCCATAATGACTGCACCATGTTACATTTCCACCAGCAAAGCACAAAAGTTCCAATTTCTGCACATCCATGCCAACGCTTGTTAATCTGTTTTGTTGTGTTGTTGTTTTTTAATTACAGGCACCTGAATGAATGTGAAGTGTTATCTCGTTGTAGTTTTGATGTGCATTTCGCTAATCTTTAGTCATTTCATTCCATAAGTTGCCTGTTCTTTATGTTGATCATGATCTTTGATGCAAAAATTTTTAAATTTTGATGTAGTCCAATTTATCTATTGTTTCTTTCTTGCCTCCTGGGCCTTTTTTATTATTATTATTTTGGGGAAAAAAAGTTTTTTATTGGACCTCATCTGAACATCAGATATACTGGGTGTTGGTTAGCAAGAACCCTATGCACATTTGATATCGATGGTGCCAAAACCAAAACAGTGACTGGACATGATGGGGAGAGGATATTGAGAACAAAAACCTGATTTTTGAGAGGAAAATAAAAGCCAGTCAGATTCAGTGACGATGCAAAACCTGGTACAACAAAATCCTTTTATTTTACAAAATATAAATTTATTATGAAAACCTGGAAGGATAATCTGAGAAAGGGAAAGAAAGGCAACAGGAGGCCAGCAGGAAGGAAGCAGGAGGAGGGACAGAGGGAACGAGAGAAGACAAAGAGCTGAGAGGAAGAAGATGGAGCTGAGCACAACAGAGGTGCAGAAGCTTACCTGCCCAGTGCCACTCAAGCCTTGCTGTGTGACCTCATCATAAAACAAAGCATGCGAAGCACAGCGCTCCTCCTCCCGCCCTTTGAGTGCTAAGAGGTAAGTGAAGAAGCTCCCTGGGTAGGGGACATGAGGTTGCTCGAAAACCCAACAACAAAAATTTAAAAGAAAAAAACTACACACCTCACAGTCTCATTTCCAATGTTCGCTGTTTTAAAAAGAAATACATCCATCTGCCAGCAGGAGAGGAGGAGTAGGGTGGGGTGAGAAGTTAATGGAGGTGAGACAACCTGACTTCCCAGAGGGGAAGGAAGAAGGAGAGAGACGTGTGATGGTCTCCTGGTTGAGAGAGGGGAAAGAGAAGGGAGAGAGAAAGAGCAGAGGAGAGGGGCAATCAAAACACTGACGTCTAATCTAGTTTACTGTGTTAAAAAGAGCCACATGCACAGCCGGCCCCGTGAGGGCCCACACTGCTCCCCATGGTGTGGCCATGGTGGACACTAGCTCCTGGTCTCATCCCCATTCCTTCACAGGTCGGAGCTGCGCTGCTGTTGCTGTTGCTGCTGCTGCTGCTGCTGCTGCTGCTGCGGGGGCGGCAGGACGCTCGGCCAGTCTGCTGGAGCCATTGTTGGAGGGACGGTGGGTAGACAGGCCGTATGACAGGGAAAGAACACCCAAACGCCTCATTTCAAATAAAAAAGAAAGTAACAGTCTATACCCAGTTGTCTGTTTTGGTTCAGTACAAACAGAATAAAAAGTTGTTGCTTCGATGGTCAGGCAAACACCCAATTCTGAAGAGGAGGAGAGGTAATGCCCAGGGGGTAGATTAGAAGCCCAGTGGCTGGTGGAGGAGCGCCCAGCTTGGCGGCCCTCTTCCAGGAGGCAGAGAGCACAGCTTTAGGTAGTGTAAGCCTTTTTCCTTTTATTTAGAATAAACTTTCTTCTTTTTTTTTTTTTCCAGTAACCAATATCCCCTCTCCCAAGTTGGGCCAGTAAAGGTTACATGAAAACTGGCACATCTATCGGCTGCAATATAGATGCATCAAATGAGGATTTTAAAACTTTGAGTGAAAAGTACAACAAAAAGAAAAAAGAATCCCCTAGCATTTTCCCCAAAGGTTGCACTCTCCCGCCGCAACGCACTCTCCAAAGGACCACTACAGATCCAACTGTGTAAGAGAAGACAGAGTGTCAGTCGGGAAGCTGAGAGGCCACCGGGAGGCTTTCAGTCTCGACAGGCAGAACAGACAGGCAGAAGATGGTGCTGCTGGCCGGTCCTGGAGCCAGCACTCACCTATGTCAGTTTCTTGGCTTTGTTGTAGAGAGAATCCACTACTTTACTCATGTTCTGAATTATTTCCAGACCAGCTTCATAAGTTTTATCTACTGGGGGGTTCATCGAAAATAATCAAGACACCCTCCCCCTGGTCCAAGATCTCATGAAATTTCTTGTCAAGAATCACCTGTGATCATTTCTTTTCCACAACGGCCATGGAAAGTTTGATGAGGCTAGATATGTGTTCAATCTGTACTCGGGGAAAAAGGCTCAGTGACTCGGATTGGATTCTGGTCCAATAAGTTATCAAACAACTTGGCCAAGTGTGTGTTGATGACTGGGTCATCCCGGAGCTCTGCCCGGTAATCTGTCAGGGCCCTTGCAAAATCTGCAAGTGATCTGTTCTTGCTAGTCTGGGCCACACATTTTAATGCTACTGTCTGCCTCCCCGCATGCCACAGTGCAAGCTTCCCGCTCACCAGAGCATGGACATCTTCTGGGGTGTTGAGCATGATTTTGCACAGCAACATGTACTTCAGAGATGCGATGGCCTTGGGGCTACCAGTGGAGTCACAACCCTCAAATGCCTCTTAGAAATATGAGTATGCCGTTTTCCAATCCTTCTCCTCTGCTGCTTGAATAATACCTGACTGCATATCCAAGGTGGCCTGCAATTTAGGGGGACAGTAGATGGCATTTACCGTGGTTCGAGCAGAGGTTAAGGCAGCTTGGGCTTTCAGCAAGTTGCTCAGGACACGGTATGTTTTGCTTTCTAAAAGCTGTACTTCCACCAAAAGGGCTTCGTCATCCATCTTTCTCAATTCCCGCAACAGCTGAGAACCCAAATGCAACGCTTCCTGGTACCTCTTGGTATCAAAGTACAAAGACACCTGTCTTGCCTCCAAAGCTTGGCGTAAGAAAGTTCTTTTCTCTGATTTGGCCTATTCGATTTGGCACTCTAAACACAGCTGGATCTCCTGCCCCGTAGCTGCTTCCGTATCAAGAAACAGATAGAGAAGAGATCAGACAAGACGAGCTGCTTCAGCCTTGCTGATGGAATTCAAGAAGGGCCGCACATACTTCAGGAGTCCTCCAAGCTCTGCAGCTTGTCCAGGCTTCGCCAGGAGAGACCCCAGTTCCAGGGTGCTCTGCTCTTTGACCTGCACTGCCTCCTCCGCATGCTGCTGACTGTCATGCTTCGCTATGGAGTGGAGGATGTCGATGGAGGCTTCCAGGTCGGNCTATGGAGTGGAGGATGTCGATGGAGGCCTCTAGGTCGGTGCTGAGTACAGACTGGGCTCTCTGCAGCTCCACCACCACCACTGCCGAGACCTACAGCTCTCATCCCACCCCCCACCCCCCGGGCCTTTTAAAGTAAGATTACCTTAACCCTCAGGCCATAAAAGTCTCCCCCTATATGTTCTTTAAATGGTTTTAAGGTGTCATTTTGCATTTTTAAGTCTCTGTTCATGTACAATGGTTTTTTGTGCTTACTGTCAGGTAGAGACCCCATCACTTTTTTCTTCCCGTGGAAAACTAATTGTACCATCCTCATTTATTGAATGCTGTACACTTCTCCCGCTGTCCGCTCTGCCAGGTGTCTGGGTGTCCCTGATTCTCCTCTAGCCTGTTCCACCAGTCAGTTTCTTTATCCTGTGCCCAGATAAAATGAAGATTCCAAGTCAGATCTGTCTGTTTGAATCTTCGGGTACTAGCCTACAGTATGATGCCTAAGGTCCTTCAGTGATTCCTCAGAGCCTCCACAAGGGGGTCTACGCTACCTATGAGGACCCTGAGCATCTTACCTTGTTTCCCTCCCCCTTTATCCTCTCTGTCCAGAGCTTCTTGCAGTTTCCTCAAGCACAGCATTGCTGTTTTGTGCCACTGGGCCTTTGGACAAGCTCAGCTGACTTCCCTGTCCAGTCCTGGTTGGCACTTCTTCCTTTGCCTCCCGCTGTGACTTGTGCAGCCTCTCTCCTCTCACTACACTGTCATCCAATCGTTCTGTGCTAATGAGACTAGTATTTTGCCTCGCTTTGACCATGCTGGAAACCCAAAGAATTCTACCAAGCAGATTCAGAATGAATCATTCAAATTGATCACCATTTACCAATAAATAAAAACCACACTTCTGTAAGCGTTTTTGCCCTTTGAAAGTATACAAAGCCATTATTCATTCACTTATCTTGATAACCCTCTGGGAGAGGAATTCGCTTAACCCTGTTTTATAATTCAAGAGACTGGGAATCGAAGAGGACAACTGGTTATCCACGCTCACAGAGCTTCACTGTAGAGCTAGGACCAGACCTGTGGTATTTTGACCCGTTGCTCTCCACAGACCCTCACCTGTCACTGTTCTGTCTAACTTTGCTCCTCTGGAAATAAGCTGTGCCTTTGGCTGTGAATCGCGGTGTCCAGCAGTGTTTGCCTCTTCCAATAGCACAGAAAATGGTTTGTGGAGTGTGACTGTAGACCTGGAAGCCCTTATAAAGTTACCATTTTCCATGTAAATTTCAAAACAAATTAGTCGAAGGAGGTACTGTCTTTGACGTTTTGGCGTGCACCTAGAAGTTGTGAAACGATAAACCCATGGAAGAGTTCATATGGACCGGGCCAGATGAAAAGAAAAAGAGGCCACCCTCGATAGAGCATAGATCAGTAGTTCACCTACCTGAAAGTCGTGTGCATCCACATTTTCAGGAGCATTCTAGTTCTTTAAGTCTGGCATGAGAGCAGAGTGAAAAGCTACCTCCCACAAGGGATTTGGCTAGTTTATAAAGGTGATGTAAGGTCAGGGCTTTGTCAGGTCCTGATTCTACCGAACCATTCTATCCTTCATCCTTTCGTCCTTACTACCACAACCTTGACCCTGCTGCATCTAGAGGTGGGAACACAACCTGGTTCAGCCCTCGTGCTGGCCATGCCATATGTCCCAGATGACACTGGCAGCATTTCTAGGAGGCCTTCTTGAATTGGACAGACACAGCTGGCTTCTCCTTTTGCCCTTTCCCCTTTGTCCTGCCAGGAATACAGATGCAATGCTTGTGACCTTGGAGACAGAAGCCACAATGAAGGATGGAGGGGCAAGGAGAGAGAAGATATTGACATTCAGGAAATTGCATACCAGTGGCTCAAAAAGTGGTCTTAATAATGGCAACACAGAATTATTATAATATAATCATAAATATAATACATGTTTATGGTTATCAACAATTCAGAGCTGTGGCATTAGCCCTGAATTATCTATTCTTATTGCATGGCAACTGAAATAAATGAACCCCCATTTGCTTAAGCCACTATTCAAAATGCAGTCAAATACAGTTCATGATGATAGAGCAGTGCATAACTGAAGTTTATTTTTACCTAACTTGCCTTAGTTATGGTAGACAGTTGCTGTTGTAACATTTAAACCCAAACGTGTATAATGATTGAAAAGTAGTCCATTTATTTCTCCTGGAACATTACCGGGAAAGCAAAAGGGTCTTCTTGGTGGGCTTTGTGCATGCACTTGTACAAGGGACCCACGCTGTTGGGAACTCTGCCACCTTCACCATGAGGCTCCCATCCGTTGCCCCATAGGTGTCCTCTTTTGCAGTTTGCTAAAAGGGGACAAGCACAGGGAGGTGCACCCTGTACGAGGTTCTTATGGGCTAGGCCTGCCAGGGGCACACATCATTTCCACTGACATCCCATTGCCGAGATCTCAGTCCCATGGTCACACCTAAGAGCAAGGGAAGCTGGCAACGGACGCCCAGATTGGGACCCAGGAGCATGAGGAGAATGAGGATTTTAGGTGAAGAGCTAGGAGCCCCTGCAAGCTACGCCTTTCCAAAACTAATAAAAACTTGGCTATGCTGGGTTGTTTTAAAGAGAAACTCACAAAAATGCTCTAAGCATGAACTGAAAATCCAGCACAAAATTAAATGAGGCTTTGCCCCTTATGGACTGTGAGGCATTGAGCTAACTTCTTGACTTCTCTAAGCCTCAGTGACTTTGTTACTATCATAAAGGCATAATAATAATAGCAGTTGTCTCATAAAATTTGGATGAAATTAAGTGAAATAATGCATACGATCTCTTATAGGCACTCAGTAATATAAAGCAAGTGCTCAAATATTAATAATAGTGCAATTGTATTATTGCTGATAGCCGTAAACATATATTTATGATTACATTATAATGATTCTGTGTTGCCATTATTATGACCACTTTTTGAGCCACTGGTTTACAATTTCCTGAATATCAAACATGGAATGCGAACTAGTGCCTATGCTATATTTCAAAGCATAAAGAATTAATATTTTAATCATTAGGACTCAATATGACATTTATTAATAAATGTGGATTTTT